CCGGCCCGCCTCCCGGCGCCCCGCGCCCCTCGCGCGTCCCGGGCCCGGCCTCCCGGATGCCAAATGCGCCGCCTGCCCTCCAGCCCCTAAAGGCGCCCTGCGCGACTCCGGGGAGTCCCGGGGCTTCCAGCGGGCTCGAGGAACTGCCACCCGTGGGAGGCCCAGCCACAGGGGGCTCTCCGCCCTCGGAGTTCCCCGGACTGTCTACTCCCGGACTCTCGGGTCGCTGAGAACCAGTGTGGGCGCCTGCGGAAGGGAGAGTCCAGCGCCCCCGCAGGCGCTACCGTGAGGTGCGCGCGGAAGACGCTCCCGGAGCGCCCCGGCCACGGCCGTCCTGCGGCCACGCGCTGTCTCCGCGCCCAGCTGAGAGCTATCTCGCGCCGAGAGGCGCGCTCATCCCTTTGCAGCGCAAGTCGAGATTCATTTTTCTCAATATGAAAAATGTTTTCATTGCACAATAGAAAGTTCTCGGGCTTGGAGGGGAAATGAGGCAATGGGGTGGGTTTTGTTTTTTTCTCTCCGCATTCCTGTGTACAAAGAGATCCAACATCCGAATCAGTTCAGCCGCTCCCTCTCCAGGAGTTGGCTGCAAAGCTCTTGGCTCCTTCTGTCTTTCCTTAGGGGGAAAAAAAAGTGAGGTGAAGGGGAGAAAGTTACCTTCACTACTTAATGGCGCACCCAAGCGCCAACAATGACAAGTCCGGGTGCCGGCCCTCTGGGAGTGACCCGCTGCGGCGGCCAGGATCTTGCTCACGAAGTCCTGCCCTCAAACTCACGTCCCCGGCTTGCCTACTTTCCGTTCCGTTCTCCGGGTGTTTGGGTGTTTGCTTCCTAGTCCTTTTATTTGAACTCCTGGAATGGGGTACCCACTGCCACCTTCATTCGATCAAATTTAGTCCCTTCCAAACACACTCCCACCCCCACACGCTTCCTGAGGGGTGGGGTGGGGGGCTTTGTCTCTTGGAGAAAGGGAGGAGGGAACTCGGGGACTGAAGCAGGAAGAAAAGGGACCCGGGGAGGGGTGGAAACAGCTAAGAGCAAAGAGACAGCTGCTGACCCCGGGGAGGAGGAGGAAAACCCCTGGGTGTGCGTTTTTTCTTTTAGAAAGACCCTAGAACGTGGGAAGAAAGGACACCTCCCACAATCACTCACCTCCAGGATCACTGAGTTCAGTGTTTCACAGTTTTTTTCACCAGGACTCACAGTAACAAATAAGTTTTACATCAGACTTGTCCACACCTTCGTCTATACATAAGCAAAACAATAGTTTCACAAAACAATACTTACCCTTATGACCTGTGAGGCACTCTATTTTCTATTCTATTTCAGTTGTTTTGTTTTGTTTGTTTTAACAATGGTTGTAACCCAGTAAATTGCTTTTTAAAATGTACCAAATGGGTTGCAAACTGCAGTTTGGGAAACCTGGTCCAGGCCACTCTGCCAAAAAGACATGGTCAAAGCTCAGAAAAGGAGCTCCAAACATCAAGGTCACACAGCAGGTCCGTGGCAACTGGAGAAGCCAAACCCCTGACTTTTATTAGCCCAGTACTCTCCACCACTCCACACTGACAGCCACAACTGTCCACCACTAAAGCCTCACTGGGAAGGGCCAGCAGCCCCTGGGACAGTTTTGTTTGCTCTCAGGAATCAGGCCTTCCCTATCTTTCCCCGGGGTCAGAAGAGGGCAATATGCATTCGTTCCATAAGCATTTACTGAAGGCCTACTACGTGTCGGGCCTCTGCTGGGCACCAGGTTCTGATCAAGTAGCCAGCCTGGGCCCAACTGCCTTTTCTCCTTCCCCAGACAGTGAGGATGAAGACGGATGAACTGGAAACACCCTCTCTAGTACCTGCAATCAGGACTTGTATGTCCTTCTTCTCCTGAGATTCAAAGAGAGTCAAGAGCTGCATAACAACGTATAAGTCAACGACAGTGGTCTCATAAAACTATAATGGTATACCATATAGCTGAGGTGTGTAGTAGGTTATACCATCCAGGTGTGTGTAAGTACACTCTAGAATGTTTGCACTAACAACACGTTTCTCGGAAAGTATCCCTGTCATATGTCGTATCCCCCATCTGATCCACAGCATGCACCGCCCTTGGTTCCCCCCATCCATCCCCCAGCCCGGGAGTGCTCTAGCCTCTGTCTCTTCATCAACCAGGAGGACTCAGAATGGGCAGCATGCCTTCCTATCCGACTGAGAAGTCCTGGTAGGGATGCTACTGCCAGCCTCCTGCCACATACATTCCTTCTAGGGATTTTTCTCTAACATGAGATTCATGTTGTGTTTCCACAGGAGCCACCCCTGGGCTCTAGTCCCCAATCACCTGCTTGTGCCAAATCAACTCCATTGTAAGCTTTTTTGTAAATCTGGGTTCTGAGTTAGAATTTGTTTAAAGGAAGATTAAGAGTGTTTAAAAAAAAAAAAAAAGGTTAAGAAACAGACTGTACAACTGCAGTGAGTTCATGAGTCTACACGCCCTAGCCCAGCACAGCAGACCCTCACAGACTGCCCGTCCACCCCCGCACCCTCTGCAGACACCAGGATTGCTCCTCAAGGAGGAACCATGCTGTGAACTGGTCAAGAGCGAAGTTTCTGGCTCGTATAGGCCTGGGTTCCAGTCCCAGCCCTGCCACTTTCTCAGGGCAGTTCTCTCAGCCTTGGTTTCCTCATCTGTTAAATAGGGAGAGTGTCCCAACACATGAGGGAAGTGTGAGCCCCCAACAACACAGCGTCCCCAGGGAGGAAGGACTCATTGTATCATTCTCATTTCCCCAGGACCTCATCCACTCAGCCCTTTGCCTGGGCTGCTGGGGCTCCCTCTACCACTTCCTCTTTTCTATTTCCCATGGTCAAAATAAAGTCGCCTTCCCTGAAGTACTGGAGCACTAATCTTTAAGTATTATTACAAAATATCAGATTAAAATGTAATGAGTGTCCTGTACCTTTCCTCCAGCTTTGTCAAATCTTCGTATTTTGGAAAATGTAGCTCCAATTTATTTTATTTTATTTATTGGCAGCTGGCCAGTACAGAGATCAAACTCTTGACCTTGGTGTTATCAGCACCATGCTCTGACCATCTGAGCTAATTGGCTGGCCGCCTCTCATTTTTATTTCTTCAGGACTAAACCTTAAAAATTCAGTTGAAGTTCCTTATGCACCCTTGCCAACTACTTTCCCTTCCCTCTCCTTCCACTATCCTGATTTGAGTAGATATCATTTCATGCAGGTTTTTATGCTTGTACTACATATGTTGGTGTCCATAAACAATGCATTGTATCACTTTGCAGGGTCATACATTTTATATAAATGGTGTCACCCCATGTACATCCTTTGATACATGTAGCTACTGTGTGATAGTCCATTTACTGACCACATTACAATTTGCTTATCCATTTTGTTGGTGACAGGTCTTAGGTAAAGACCTAAGGTTCCGCTATTACAACAGTGTTGCAGTAAACATTTTCATCTCCCTGTGTACAGGGTAGTGTTGGTCTAACTATGGATTGAGGCCCTTAATGGGTTATGAAATCAATTTAGTGGGTGAAGATCAACATTTTTAAAACTCAAAATTGATTGGAAAATACCAATGTGTGTCACACATCATCAGGGTAACTATTAGGGTGAAAGTTGTCTGTCATGGATGTAGGGCATTTGTGTTCTGAGTCACAGTGTATTTCTCATTGAGGACACCTGTCAAAAAGTTTGAGAAAACTTCAGATCCCCATACCAACCAGCTGCCAAGCAAACAAACAAATAAGTAAAAAAATTTGGAAAACCCTGTTCTAGAGTAAAAACTTAGAAAGCAGAATTGCTGGATCATAGGGAAAGAGCATCACAACTCTGTAGGAGGTGTCAAATTGTTCTCCAACTTGGCTTTTTTTTTTTTTTTCTTCAAAAGATGACTGGTAAGGGGATCTTAACCCTTGGCTTGGTGTTGTCAGCACCACGCTCTCCCAAGTGAGCCAACCGGCCATCCCTGTACCGGGATCTGAACCCATGGTCTTGGTGTTATCAGCACCGCACTCTCCCAAGTGAGCCACGGGCCGGCCTCCAACTTGACTATTCTAACTTAGCTTCTTGCCAGCCATGTGGGACTGCACCCACTGAACCATGTCCTCACCAGCACTTGGTATTGTCAGACTTTTTAACAGCCAATTTCTTTATTCCCCCACTGTCAGAGAACATATCATGTGCCATCTTGGATTGTAATGATCCATCTTCTTTTTGACCTCCTCCAGTAGACTGTGAGCTCCTGGATGGAGGAGGCTGTGTCCACTCCACTTTGAGTCTCCAGGCCAGGCACATAGTAAGTGCTTAATAAATCTGTGTGGATTGAACTGTCAAGGAGAAAGACAGTGGGGAAAGAATATAAATTATACCAGGAGAAAAATACACAGGGAGACTGTGGGAGCCCCAGCTTGGGGTGACAGGCACCTGGGTCCTTGGGTGGGGGTGGGGAGCTTCCA